TCCAAGTCATTAAAAATATGCCAGAGGTTGAACCTTTTTTCACTCTCCTCTATGCAAATACACCAAGTGCATTTACTAATGATTAAGATATATATGTTTCAAACCAAAGACACACAAAAAAGAAGAAGATTAAATTTATTGTACGGAAGGCATGAGGCATCATTGTACAAAAATATAAACGAGATTCAAAAGATTTCCCCCGAAAAATAAATTTGATAAATTATTAGTCTTCTAATTTTTAATGTATGTCTTTTCCCTTTTGGTGTAATGAGTGATGAATAACACTCCCAGTTTGCCTCTCTGGCTATATCTTGTGTTGGGAGGAACCATCCTTTAGGATTAGGACTATAGTTGGGGTTGTTGTCAGTGTTGTATACACTGGAATGGTTTTATTTCTTTCATTCATTAAGCGTTTGTCATAATTTTGCATCATAATTCTCTATTTAAGAATTTTTCGAAGACTTTAGTTTCTATATTGATAGGCGATATTTAATAAAACTAAATCTTTGTGGAGTTTGATGGGTGTATATTTAAATGTGAGAAAGTTTATTCCCATTTAAATTTTTTGTAAGTAATCAATAATCATTGCTTCAAGTGATAAAAAATTTGTTTTCTTAATTGAAATCTCTGAATTAAAAATTTTGTTCTCTATGTAGGTTTGATAAAAACTCGAATTGAATTAGTCATGTAATTTATGAATCGGTGAATAAATCTAAATTTTTGTTTGAGATATTACCAATATTTGACGAATGATAACTTTTTTCCGGATGTTAAAAGCGGATCAATTCGACAGTTCGACGGTGCAGTCTTCATGGATTTTTTTTTTTTTTTTCAGAATTTACCCAATGAAATTATTAAAAAATAACAAGTGGTTGTAGAAATGGGAGGATGATGTTTTGAGTCAATCGGTCGATCAACACTGTAGGATCGTGTAATCTTTTCAATTGTGTGAGTTTATACATAATCTCGCTCCAAAATCAATCCTACTCGTTGGTGGTCTGGAGGCAAGACACTTGAGATTGTACAATCCCATAATCCAATTCATGATTTTGATTAGAGGAAAATGTGTGTTGTTTTAAAAAGGTAAAGTTGTATCATTTTAAAAGAGTGAAAGAAATAGATAAAGCAGAGAGAGTGGACAGAAATAAAATAAAATTGTGGGTCTCACCTCTTTGTGAGAGTGAAATAACACAAGTTATGTCACTAGGACAAACATTTTTCTCTTTTGTTTATGAGGGGCAACCACACGTTTCTTTGTGATATTTCTTATTATTTTTACATTTTTTAAAGAAAAATATTTGTCATTTTAAATGATATAAAGTTATGTCATTTTAGGAGAGAAATAGACACAAAATAATTTTTATTTGAGTAAATACCCTTTTTGGTCCCTAACAAAAAACACGGTCCCCATTTTAGTCCCTTACAAAAATAAATTAGTCAGTTAGTCCCTAACAAATTCAAAGTGGACCCATTTAGTTGAAATCATGGTCCCTCACAAATTCAAAAAAGACCTATATTAGTCCCTCAAAAGGACTAAAATGGGTCTACTTTGAATTTGTTAGGGACTAACTGACTAATTTATTTTTGTAAGGGAATAAAGTGGGGACCGTGTTTTTTGTTAGGGACCCAAAAAGGTATTTACTCTTTTTATTTATTTAAAATTTAAATTAAAAAAATAACCATTTTCCCTCTCATGATTTTTATTCTTTGTGTCTATCTCTATTTTAAAATGACATAACTTATGTCATTTAAAATGACAAGCATCAAACTTTTTTTTAATATGAGGTTGCTTTTTTTTTTAATTTGATACAGGAGAAAGCTTATTTCTTCCAAATTTGAGACATCAATTTTTATTTTTATTTTGTAGTGTGGGACCCATTAGGAGATTCTCTTGATATATTATAAATGTATGTTGAATTTCATTCTAGTCATAGCATTTAAGTGTCATTTTATTGATTGATTCACGCCATGTGCTCTATTGAACATTTGAGATTTTTATTTCTCAATTATTTAGAGTGCAATCATACCTGTAAAAATTTTGTTGATTGATTGATTCATCCCGTGGCTCGTGTGCATAACAACTATCAATTATTTCTCAAAAAAATTTAGGGATGTTTGGTAGGAGGATTATTTTGAGATACCCAGTAAAGTGAATATGAGATTCCAAGAAAATTATGTTTGGTAGCTGATAAGTCTTTGTTTAAAGACTTGTTCATTGCTAATTATAATTCAATCATACTCAGTTTTGGTTTAAATTTTCATTGGGCTATTTATTTATTGTGTATTTTAATTTCAGGTTCTTAAAGGCCAAAAAAATTGAGATGCATAGGAGTAGTAATAAAAAAAGCAAAGAGATTAAAAAAGGGGAAGCCAACAAAAGCTCTGAGGACCAGGTGAACAAAAGTCCAATCCATCCCAGCACTGCACTTAAAGGCAAGATAGGAATTGAGGAAAGAAGCTTGGTGTAAACACATAAAGAGGAAGCCAATTGCTGATAGAAAAAAATAGCTAACCTATGTGACTCACTTTATGTCCAAGTGAAAGCAAGCCAAACCCTAACCTCTTTCCATTCTCCATCAACCCTTCGAACCACAAATTAAACCGCACCCGAATCTTGATTTTGTTGAGTCAGTGAGCAATTAAGCCACACCCAACCAGTTCCCCTTTTATTTTGTTAACCATTGAGCCTCTTGACCATCTTTTATAACATTTTTACCCAAACAGTCCACCTAACCTACAAATCAAGCCAATCCTCTCACACAAGGAAGAATCTCTTTTTATTTTGCGAACCTGAGGTAGTTATGGGCTGATGGTGGAAGCGAGCGTGGAGTGGAATGGTTCACATGCATTGATTGATCTTATCGTGTTAGAGGAGAAGATGATCCAAGAGTTTTTAGAGCTATTGCACGCAAAAGAACTAATATAAAAAAAAAAAAAAGCAAAGGACCTCTCCTTTACCGCTGGTTCTTCCTCTTGCTTCTTGGTTGATATTTCTTTAGAGTCTGTTTTCATTTTTAGTTTTACAATAGCATTTGATTTTAGTTTTTAATTGTTATTTTCCTTTTATTTCATTTCTGTTTAGAGCTCAACTCTTATGGGTATGAGCTAGTCCTTTTAGAGGTTGGGTTTAGGTTATATCCAAACCTCAGTGCTTGGATGAATATTTGATTTTCTGGATTTTAATGTTTATCTCAGTTGTTTTATGCTATTTTTGTTGTTTAAATTTTCTACAGTCCGTCCGGATGTTAGAGGTTTATTTAGGAATTAGTTGTTGAGAAATAACTCATTATGGACTCTGCATTAAGCTCATGAAGTTGAATGAGAGATCATTCAAGGGATCTCACTTCAGACATGTATGAGTCCTCCATGTAACATTGGACCTGAGTCTCAAGAGTCCTAATCCCACTTGGCATAGAGATTTGTAAGTGGTTGATTTTGGTTAAAATAATTTTTAAGAGATTAAAATTAACGAGTGAGTTCCGTTAACTGGAAATTTTTGGATGAGCAACTTGTTGATCAAATCATTCTTTCAAACACTGTGGGGAAGGAGAACCGAAAACTCAACCCATTTTTCTAAACATTTTCACCAACTCGTTTTCTTTTCTCTGATTTAGATTCTGTTTTACATTTCTTTATAAAAAAAGCTTTTTACATCAAAAACAAACAAAACACTTCTTAAATTGATTTCTTATTACTTTCCATCTTTTAAAACAATTGAATCCAAAATTAATTCAGACAAGTCTAAAAATAAAATAGTAACATAATCATTGCTATTTCAGATTAGTCTTATGATTATTTTATTTCTTTTTATTTTCTTTTTTAGATTGAATTTAGTTATAGCAGTTACAAATTTTAGTCAAGTTAAAAATTGCCAAAGATCCTTGTGGGAACGATAACTGGAACTCAAACAAGCCCTATATTACTTGTTGTCGCGTATACTTGCGCGCATACTTGCATAACTGTTAGCAAGGCACCAAGTTTTTGGCACCGTTGCTGGGGATTGAAGGCGTACATTGTCAGACTGTTTGATCTCGAGTTGTGATTGCTAAATGAGTTCACTTTTGTAGATTGTTAATTGTTTAGATTTTATTTGTGATTGTGATTCTGAGTTTTTTATTTTATTTTTCTGCTTTTATAATGCTTCTGTTAATTAGTTTAAATTTTTCTTGTAGTTAATTTATGTTTTGTTGGTTGTTATTTTTTGTAGCTTCATCTATAGCTTGTTTAATTTTAATTTTTTTAGCAGGGTAATTTTAGTTTGCTTTTGTTCGTTGATTATGTTATTTTCTTTTTTGAGTTAGTTACATTTTACTGATTTTTTTTTTTTCATTATTCATAAATTGAATTGTGTTGGTTGCAATTTCTTTGTTGCGAATCTTTTTCTTTGGGTCATAATTTTTTTTTCTGTTAAGTCTCGATTGATGGTACTAGAAAATGTATGAGTGACACCCCTCATCCTTTTGTAGAGGCTTTTGACCCTGAACCAAAGAGGACTTTTAGGATTAGGAGGAGAATTCAAAGAGCAAATAGGCATTTTTCAAACCCTGATTTTGAAGAGATGGAGAACCCAGAAAATGGGAATAATAATGAGGAACAACCTGGGAGAATAGGGAACCAACCAATGGATGACAATGATAGGTTCATGATGGACTTTATCATTTCCGTCTTGGATGAACTTGATCCAAACATTGTCCAACCTGTCAATGAAGTGCCTTTCAAATTAGAACCCATAATGTTTACCATGCTGCAGAATATGGGGCAGTACCATGGGTTACTTTTAGAGGACCCACTCAAGCATCTTAGGAACTTCATTGAAGTGGCTAATACCTTTAGGAGGCCAGCCATCTCAAATGATGTTTTATGATTGAAACTCTTCCCTCATTCCCTCACGGACAAAGCCAAAGAATGGCTGAACTCCCTTCCATCCAACTCCATAACAACTTGGCATGAGCTAACTGAAAAGTTCATCATGAAATTTTTCCCATCCAATAAAATAGTGCAAACCAAAGGCGAGATCACCAATTTCATGCAGAAAGATGGTGAGACATTAGTGGATGTGTGGGAAAAGTTTAATCTGCTTCTTAAGCAGTGTCCAGACCATGGATTACCATCTTGGGCCTTAATACAGACCTTCTGAAATGTTCTAAGCTTTCAAAACAGAGCCTTAGCAGATTCTGCTGCAAATGAGATGTTTATGTTAGGTCTTTCAATCAAGCGCATGAGTTGTTAGAACAAATGGCTCAAAACTACTCCCAATGGACAATGGAAAGGTCTCAGCCAAGAAGAGTGGATGTAATGCATGAAGTTGACTCCATGACAACATTATCAGCCAAGGTTGATGCACTTTCAACCTTAGTTTGAACCCAAGGTCAAGCCATTGAGGCCAAATCGGGTCAAATAGGAACAGTTTCGATTAAAAAAAAAGGTTGAGTACCAAAACAATTAATATGTTATTATCGTGTTGAAATAATGAGTATATGTATCATTCTAACTGAATGTTAACATGTCACGATTCATGCCATTTTACACGACTGAGTATATGTAATTAGTTATATTTTTTTATTTTTAGCTATCTTTTTTATCAGATTATAATATAATTAAGTACAGTAGTGGTGCAAGCATACTGGTTTTTAATTTAGAGTACCTGCTCATTGAACACAAAAATTAGAATGGCAAAAATCCCAGTACACAATGAGAATGAACTAGATAAACCATATAATGCAAAACTCTGTAATATTTTTTAATAATTTTCATTCAATCTTTGTTGTATGCAGCCATTATATGCAGCCATCTCTCAAGGCAACCAAAGCTATGACCAAAGATGACAATAACCAAAATAATAAACTAGTTTCGTTTTAACTCAGAAAAGAACAACAACCAGAAAATCAGAAATAATTTGTCATCTAGCTTTATAGTTCATGAGAAGTTCAAATTTATCTATAAGTACGTAATAAGCTTCCTGAACTTCATTAAAAAAACAAAAGTACAATCATAATTTAATTCAGAAATAATTGAAGTATACAATCAACAGCACTAGTAATTTCATAAATATTCATAAATTTAATGTATATCCAAATAGCATAATATAAAACAAAATCATTTAAAAAGTCTGTTTAATTAATAAAATGGGATGAAATGAATTGAGAAGAGAGAGCTATCACACGTAGTATAAAAATAAAATAAAAAATAAAAAAATAATATATTAGGCAAGCCTGAGAGACTCTAAGGCCGAGCTTTTGAATTGGAGCCTGAGGCCTTTTTATTAAACGAGCTTTTATACAAGTCCAAGCCTGCGTCCAACAATCAATTTTAGACATGTAAGCTCAGGCCTTCACGAGCCGAGCCAAAGGCCCCTGACTCGTTTAGCACCCCTAGCTGTAATCTTTATTGCTAATACAACATATTATCTCAATATTAAAATTATTACTAGGTAAACTAAACATGACACTTAATTAAGTATAAAGTTCATGCACTAGTGTTCGACAAAACGTGATAAATTGAACACTCATCGTGTCGCTAGTGTTTTGATAAACTTTGTTAAAAAAAAAACTGCAAAATATTTCTGCAGATAAGTTATCTTCATTTATTTTCAAAACGACGTCGTTTTAAGATTGAAAGATTAAAAAATTATAATTATAAAGACTATAATAACCCTGAAATAAATTAAAATTAAAAAATACCATGATTTTCGCCCTCAAAACGACGTCATATTAGGCTTATTGCAGATAACTTATCTACAGTAACTGTAGAAAAAGCGAACAAAAAAAGAAGAAGGGAGAAACGAATTTCCCTCTATATTTTATGGGCTTTGTTGTTCTCTTTTCATGTAAGAGGAAGTTTTTTTTCTACACACATAAGTTTCAAGTGAATTCCATTATTAAAAAAAAAAATGGATCCTGTCATGTGGGAAAAAATATGACATGGTCAGATGGAAAGATCACAGTCATAGAAAGGTAAAAAATCAACGTTATAATTTTGTAACTACCTATTATAATATTTTTTTCTCTCTTCTTTTATGACTATATCATTTTTTTCACATGAGAGGATCCGGATAAAAAAAACACGTAAATCGATATATGAGTGACATGAGAAATATTTTTTTGGAAATTGATCATCTCATGTGAAAAAAACACGTAAAAATGATATGGTCGTGTGAAAAAACACAACCATACAAAGGTGAATCGATTATGATTTTGCAATTACCTATTTCAATATTTTTGTTCTCTTCCTTTATTATCTTGATCTATTTTTTATGATTATGATTTCTCATATGACTATATCATGTTTTTTTTTAGATGAGAGGATCCAGATCCTACTTTTATACTTTTGAAAATAGGTAATATAAGCTTTGTGCTATAGAAGAAAAAAAATTTCTCCCACTAAAGCAATAAAAGTGTAGGTTCCACAATGAGAGAAAAAAAAACAAATATCAATGTCACATATCTTTATTGCTCCTCGTAGAGAAAAACAATAAAAATATGGGTCCCACGATATAAGGAAAGAGGTAAACAAATATTAATGGCCCAGGTCTTTATTGTTCCTCTGAGAGAAATTTACTTTCTCCTACTGCAACCAGGAGACTTATCGAGTGTATTGGATTGAGATTTTAAAAGATTTTAAGGGGTTATATTTAGACAAAAAAAATCCATTGGTATTCAATTAGAATTTTAAAGGATTGAATAAAAGCCACGTGATATTCAATTAGGATTTAAAAAAATTATTTTAGAGTCCGTCCAAATTCATTAGTATTCAATCAAGATTTTAAATAAAGAAAAAATAATCTTATGGTATTCAAATATCTAGCGATTTTAATGGATTTTCTATTGGTGTGAATTTCGTAAGACTCTTTAGTAAGAAATATAAATATGATGCTTCTCTCACAATCTCATCCTAACCCTAAGAATATCTTTAGATTTCTTTATTGCAGTATTTTCTTCTTCCTTTGGCGGGCCGACACGCTCGAAATCGGGTTCCGCCATGGGAGCTTCGTATGATTTTTGATCAATTTTTGAGAGTTTTAGGAAACGAAAATGTATGATTTATCTTGGCACAAAAATGTGTGATTTTCATCACAAAACAACCAGAAACAACAACCCAACAATATTGTAAAGAACCTTGGGATACACCACCCCAAAAGCTAGCTCGAAGGGAGGGAGTACCCAAGGCCTTATAAACTCCACATTAGTTGCAAATACAACCAATGTGGGACTATATATCTCAACACGCCCCATCACATAAGAGCCCATTGGACTTGAAGAGTGGACAATGCAACAGGCCCAACCTACCTGTGCTAAGAAACTCCACAAGAGAAAGCGGGGGACGGCAAGACTCTGATACCATGTAAAGAACCTTGGGATACACCACCCCAAAAACTAGCTCGAGGGGTGAGAGTACCCATGACATTATAAACTCCACATTAGTTGCACATAAAACCAGTGGTGGACCCATAAATTTTTATTTATGTATGCATATTTAATGACGGGGATTTGAAGGCAGCGCCTCCAGAAAAGTTCTTTTTTAAATTTTTTTTAAATGTATTAAAAAATAAAAACAAAAAAAGAGGGAAAAAAACTTCAGCTTAATAAAAAATAATAATAATCAAATGTCATGTGAAGTTAATAGTTAATTTTCTGTTGTTATTTTTTCTATTTTCAATATTCAGAATTTTGAGATGTTATAAATAATAATTATATGCAAATTGTTAAATAGCTTACCGAATAGTTAATTTTTACACGAAGTCCCATGCCTTAACAAATACTTTTTTCTCCAATTATCGAATAGTTAATTATTTTTTCTCTAAAATTGCAGACACATGCAACATAGTGGGTCTGCCCCATGCATAAAATCAATGCGAGACTATATATCTCAACAAATATTTTTAAGCTATTGGTCACAATTTTTCTTGCACAAAAATGTGTGATTTTTGTATGAAAAACAACAAAAAATAGTGGGCAAACCAATGGGAACAAAAATCCCCAAACCAATTTTCGTTTTACATCAATGAAACGATTTAAAAAAAGATTGAAACTTTCGTAATATGAACCGTATGTTTCATAACAATACATTTATGAACGAAATTCTTTCGCTATAAGAAACGATTTTAAACAATTTTTGTGTCAATAGATCACTAAATATTTATTTTTCAAAAGTCCCAAAGCAATTTAAAGTTTCAATATATGGATTGAAAATAATTTGAGAAATTTTCTAAACTTTCATGTAACCCAGAAATTCAAATTCAAAATTTTCTTGGAATACTCCATGAAAACATGCATATGATAAATGGTTAGAAAACTCTCATCACGTTGAACAAAAACCCCAAGTTTTACAAGATCAATTGCAAAAAATTCCAAATGATATTTTATTCATTGAAAAAATTATATTAGGTTGTACTTTTTTTATTAATATCATTGCATTTCTTTGTTATTTTTTATTAACTCTTGTAATTTTGAATGTTTGTTAAAAATTTATATGATTTTTGAAGATCTTATAAATCCATATTTCCTTTTCAAATCTTATAAATTCTATTAAAATAATTTAAAATTCAATCTTAAGAAATTTTGATGGTAAAAAAAGTCTTTTAAAAAAGTTTTTAAAGTCCCTTATATTCTAGAAAGTCTTTTAAAATTTATAAGAATTTTTTATCTAAAAAACAAAATATTTTTAAATCCTAATCCAATACACCTCTTCATGTTACCCTTTGAAAATAGGTATTTTTTTTTTGTAGAGAAAATAGAGATCGTTTTTCCAATATTAAAAATCTGTCCAAACATTAAAAAGAAAAAAGAAAATTTTCTACTTGTACATAGTATTTTAAGAAAATGAAAAAAAAAAAAATTGATTGAGATAAGATATTGTTTAGGGTTACTACCATATCTTAATCGTAATATTACTATTATATCTTAATCGTTAATTTTGGCCAATTAACAGTTATTATTTTATTACGAATTAATAATTAATTAATAAATTTGATTTATAAAAATAATAATCATTAGGTGACGAAAATCAACAGTAGTTAAAATATAATGGTAAAATTAATAATAACATTATTTGATAGTAATAACATGTGACTCTTTTCCATTATTTTTTCTTAAAAGACTTGTTATGTTAGATTAAAAATTAGAAGAGAAGAGAGCTTGCATAGAGAGAGATAACGAAGAAAACCCATGGCAGAGGAAGGGAAACCCGATGCACAGCTCTTCCAACTTCTCTCCAGTCTCCTCCATCAGGTTCATATGATTTCACCCGATTAATCTTTGTTTTTCTTTTCCTCTCTATCTGTCATGTGTAATTGCTTGAAGATGGGGGACACAAGGGTTCTAGAGCCAGCCAAATTAATTTTGAATTTATATATTTCTGTGACCTATCCTTTTGCAAAAAATTGTAAATTTGGGAGATAAAAGCAGGTTATCCAGTTGTTCTGGCTGCAGTGATCTAAATTTGTAGGATAAAAATAAGTGGTAAGATGAATAGTTGGACAATCAATGGCAAATTGTTTCTTGGTGACATGCAGAAAGATATCATCAAAACTTTGAAGAGTCCCATAAAAGTGTTTTGAAACAAAGAATTAACATGTATTGATGTTAATTAAGAGCTAACTAGCATGAAGATGCCATTATGAATTTTCGTCATGTGCCATCTGTGCCCTTTGGAGATTTGTTTCTTTCGTCATCCTTTCTCTTTTCTGGACGCATTCACTTGTTATCTTTAGTCGCTTTCATTTTATTTGAGATGGCTGCATTACTTAAACACCCCAAAAGTTTGACTGTGTAATACACCACTATAGTTTGTTGTCATGCCATCATGTAGTATAGTACTTCCTAAAGGTTTGATATATTTGATTGGACCTTGCAATAGCACTTTGCATGTATTAACAGATACCACGTGCCTTTTCACGAAGCTGCTGTTATCCATGTTTTAATTATGAATGATGTTTGGATCAAAATACAGTGAAGGAAACAAAATAGTATGCATATCTGCCTCTAACAATAAGTGTTTGAACTGAGTTATTGATTGATATGAGTCACTCTTGGTTTTTAAAATTTGGAGATGATTTAGCAGAAGTGGGGATATTGTGAAACAGCAACCAAAGTCTTCTCACACTAGGTGGGGTTGACTATATGGATAATGAAGCCATTGTGTACTGTCAAAAATCATATCTTCGAAGAGGCCATTTAGATTTAAATGATTTTTAATGGTATCACTTAGAGTCTTTCTTGGTCTATCTCTACCTCTAATTATTGGGCTATCTCCCATCCAATCAACTCTTCTAAGTGGGGCTTCTATTGGTTTTCTTCTCAAGTGAGGTTATTGTACCAAAACATTAACATCAACATCAACACCTTTGTCCCAAAGTAGTCAAAAAGGGATACATTTATGATATTGTACCAAAAGAAAAAAAAACAAAAGTTTTTCTGTTGAAACTATGGAGAGTTGGATTTCTTCAATGATCATTTATGATATAACAATTAAATTCCTACGTAGCCTTATCCTTGTATATTTGCAAAGAGGCTGTTTCCTGGATTCAAACCCGTGACTCTTCAGTGACAAAGGAACAATTTTAACACTGCTCAAGGCTCGCCCTCTTAATGATTGATGGATCCCCAAAAATACAACAACAAATAACTCTGAATGCAAAGACATTTTGTATTGACAAATGAAATTGGAGACTAGCTCCTTACAATCCAGAAATACAATAACAGTGCATAATAATGGCAGAAAATGAAACAGAGACACTGACTCTTGTGCTAATCACAGACTCCAACAATAGGACAATTAACAGTAATTACTTGACAATGCAGATAAGATAGACCAAAGGCCTCAACTCACCCTCAAAGCCAAATACCAAGGCTTCAAGAGATCCCTGGAGATCCTTTTCCCAATTCCCAATTCAGTGAATACATGCATAAAGAAACCCCACCCTAAACATCTCTATATATACTAATTCCTAATTAATGGGCTTGGTTACTTTATTGAAGGCCAATGATCATTTGTACTGTAAATGAACATAATCTGTTGCAGCATAATGGACTGAATTTTGTGTTATAGGCCTATGCTAGGGCAAGATCAGTGTTTTCCGGTGGAGAAGAATGTCTGCATAGCATTCTGTGATCTTCATTTCATTTAACTTCGATCCTAGATTACTTGCTTTCTATAATTGATTTTAACTTGGTTCCACTTTTCTTGTAAACCAAAAAAAAGGTTAAGACTTTTGTTCCCTTGATGAGCGTGATTTGGTATATTCATAATTTCAATAGTTTTGGCCATACTTCTACAAATAAATTGCATACTTTTAAATGGGGAAGGATATTGTAACAACCAAGTTATGTTACTATCAAGTTACTACCAGTCAATCTCACCGTTAGATCGATTATGTTGATCCAACGGTTATATTTATTTCTATCTTTGTATGGTCATGATTTCTCAAATTTAATACTTTATATTTATTTCCACCTTTGTATGGTTATGATTTTCCATATTTAATGCTTTCACTTTAAATATGGGGAATTATAACCATACAAAGATGGAAATAAATATAACCGTTGGATCAACATAATCGATCTAACGGTGAGATTGATTGGTAGTAACATGGTAGTAACACAACTTGGTTGTTACAATATCCTTCCTCCTTTTAAATAACTCAAGTATTAGGAATTCTAAATTATGAAGCATCGAAGATTATAATTACATATGCCTGCAGCTTCTCTTGATTCTACCAATAGTTCAACCTCCACCGAATTATCTCTACTATCACTGCTATTTATATACTCATGCATGTTTGATGGTAAACTGTAGGTTGAAGCACTGACTAATCAAGAAGAAGTTGAACTGCGATCTAAAATTGAAGCTCTTGGATTAGAAGTTACAAAAGTTCCTTCAAAGTCAACTCAGCATCTTGACGAGGTGATTTTCACTTTATAGTTAATCCATTACTTGATGCACAGTTCTCTGTACCTCTCTACTGAAATGAAATAACATTAAAATCACTCCCCAGAGAACCTCGACTTGTGAGAATAGAGGTGAGATAAATCCTTGTATGCAGTCTTACCTTTGTATTTTTGCAAAAAGACTGTTTCTGGGATTCAAACCTGTGACCAACTAGTAACTAAGGAACAATTTTACTAGTACTCGAGGCTTGCTCTCTTTGTTGAAATGAAATAACATTCTTTCATTTTTTATTTTTGGATTTCTTGTCTACATAGTTGGAGATAGCTAAGGAGTTGGATAGATTGTCAGCAAAATTGGATGATGTTGATGAGATGATATCATCAACCATGGCTGCAGATCCACAAGTGCAGTCCCTGTTGAGTGGTACAGCTGATGTGTGGATGCCAGTTATCACTGCTACATCTGAGGAAAGACGCAATTTTACAGCTTCTCCGGGTGACAACACCACCCAAGCACAAGTTGAAAACACTAAATAGTTTCCTGTTTCTTGTCATTAAATATGGATATGTTTTTAGTGCTTTACATTATTTTTAATAAACTGATATACATAAGAAAGTGCTTCGTTATATTTTTCTTTTTTACTAGTATGTCAAACAATTGGAAAAAGAAAAAAGAAATACCGTTCTTTGAAATTTTGAGTCATTTAAAGAATAAATAATTTTTTTTAGAGTTTGCATTATTAGGATGATCAGTAGTCTTTGGAGCTTAATCTGTCGCTGCTGGTTTGGCTCTCACCATCTGTTATCACACACAATCCATACATGTTTTTATAAACAATGTTGAACTAAAAATTTATTTTATATTTTATGTCATAAATTTATGCTCTATCTTAGGTGTAATAAATGCTAAATAATGCTAAAAGTATATCCCAAACCTAATGGAGGTATTTCCCTCAATATTAATTTACTTCAAGCCTGTGTTCCTTCCTTTTGCGTCAGCGCATGGAGAAGCTTTGTGGAAGGAAGGAATGTTTTACGACAGGGTGTCAGATCATATGGAAAGCCAAGAGTGGAAGTTTCATCAAGCTATTTGAAGATCACCAGCGCTCTGTATGGTGACTTTGATGGCTCTTTAAAGTAGCAACTTGAATCCCCTTTCTTAGTACACTTCATTGATCAATATACTTGGCTTTCGAAGGTTCATAACTTTTTTGGAACAACTTACTGCACTAGATACACAATAGGGGTATGATAAGTTCATATTCTATCATGTATTTGATGTGCACTAGATACACAATTGATAGAACAGTGTTATTCTATCTAGTGTTGAGATGAATTAAATAGTGTTGGGATATGATATAAATAGAGAAAGATATATTTTATAATGGAATTTCAAACAATTTTTTAAGATTAATTTATAAAATATATAAAATAACTTGTAAAATTTTCTAAATACAACGTTATACCTTCACCAAATAAACTTCTAAAAATAAGCTTTAACTTAGTGTCAATAACAGTGGCAGTGCCTGGTGGTGGTCAGGAGTAATTGTGGTTTGTGCTTAGTGGTTAGGGGTGGTATTGGCTGATGATAATAGTGATAGTTGATCGGTGACAATAGTGGTAATTGGTCGATGGCTGGTGGCAATTTTGGTGACTGGTTGATGACAGTAGTGATGGTGATGACGATGACAGTAGTTGGTGGTGACTCACTCTCATGTTATGAACAAAGTTCCTAGAAGAAGAGCAAAATGCTAAATTTAAATTAAGATGAATGTCATGTTTGTTATCTTATCCTTTCCAACCACTTTTATTTTGAGGGGAAAAAAAAAGCTATTTGGAGAAAAAAGTCCATCCAAACAGCCCATGTTATTTGATCCATTTTGTATGATTGGGCTATCAGCTACTCTTCCCACTACCAAGCCAGGGAGACACAGGAGAGGAAAATGTTCTAGGCAATAATCTGGTTTAATCCGGGGAATGACTTTTTTTCCTTAACCTCTTCATTTTGTTGCTGATGGGTTGGTCTTTGTTCTTCCTTAGCTCTTGATTTCAATAAATGAGGCTTGAGCTAGTTTACATCTGACTGTTGAATGGGTTTCAGAAAGATTTTTATTTTTTTTATTTTATACTAATCTTAATTATTTCGTTGAAGGAAGTCAGTCTCTTGAATATCTCTATAAACTTTAACTCTTTAAACGAGTTATGAAACTAATCTTAAGATGACAGAAAGAATTCTTCGGCTCCCTCTACCAAACATCTCATCCAAACATTGAAACAAAAGTCACTTCACGTGATATTTGAAATTTTGTCACGTGATGCTCCCTAATAAGTGAATTTGACATTTTCAAAATAATTGCTTTTGGTCATACGAAATTTTGTCATGTAACGCTAGTGGGTGTTTGGTTGAGGAGAAATTTTTTGAATACTAAAGAAATGTAATTAATAGGGAAATAGTTGGAAAGTGAGTTTGGTAGAAAAATGAAAAAAAAGTTGTTTGGTTAAAAAAAAATTTACCGAACAAATTAGGTAAGATTTATAAAGTCTATGTTTGATTTGAGGTAAAATATAGATAGAGAAATAACTTCAAATTACAAAATAACCCTTGTAGAAAACACAATTGTCTAATAGAAGAGGGTATTTTTGGCATCCACACAATTTGAAAATACCATTAGCCTAGGCAACTTGAAAATACCACTTTGGAAGAGGTATTTTCAACAGTATTTTTCCCTCCAATTTTTTACACAAAAGTAGATGGCTAGGCAAAATGGATGCATAGCTAAATTTTTTAAAAATTTCAACCAAACAAGGAAGTCCAAAAATGACACATTGAGATGCATGGGTAACTTCTAAGAAACCGTGAACCAAACGTCTTCTAAGGATATAATCACAACTGATATGTCTTTAAAAAATTAATGAATTTTTTTTAATATTTTTTAAATATAAGCTAGAGACTATCGAAGGGATTTAAATTCCTACAAATCAATGAACTTTTAATATTTATTTAAATATAAGCTAGAGATTATCGAAGTTTTAGATGCCATTAAATAATTATGGAATATGAATAAATATTATTCACCCAACTTAAATAAAAAATATTTAAATTATTATAAAATATAATAAATATCAATTATCAAATTGTAATTATTAACAATAATTTTAACATTTTAAATTTTATACAGATTCTAAAGATCCCATTTAAAAAAATACGACTATTTATGATATTAATTAAATTTTGAAATGGATTTAATGTCGATTTGCAAAATAATAATAGTTGCATTACTTACAATGCTAATTGTTAGATATTAATTATTATTTACATGAAATAAGAGAATAAAAATAAGAGAGTGAGTAGAAATAGGGGGGGAAGATCATAGAAATCTCGTAAACAGCTTAGGAGATTTACGTGATCGAGTCGGGATTGACCTATTGTATTTACCAAGTGTCCCTATGTGATAATCTGATAATGTTGAACCCCTAACATATTTGAAGTTCATTATATCGGTAAATATTTTGCTGACTTCTTCAAATTAATTTTTTCTAAAAAATTTAATTATGTAAGTCAAAAAGCCTTGTATATATGTTCACATGCTATCCAATTAATTCCAATTATTAGTTGCCTCCTTTTGTCTCACTATATTAGCATATTTTTTTTTTTTGGATATTAGGGAATAACAAAAAAAACCAGAAAACCAGCTACCTAAGGATCAGTGGAAAGACTAGCCATTCCCATCAGATCCTTCTCAACAAAACTAAAACAACCTATAGGAATATTAGGTAGAATAACCAATTCCCAAGAATTATGGTCTACTATTGAGGCCAAGAAATTCGCCACTTCATTTCTTTTCCTATTTGTATGAGTCAGTACAACACACCAATGCTTGTCAATGAACTCCTTGATTTTATGCACCAGATGGCCAAAAGGGTGATCCAGCGGACAAACACCTTGAACCAATTGAATTGCTTCCGCAGAGTCCCCTTCCAAATGAATTTTTCTGAAACCATGCTCCCAAGCCACTTGTAACCCTAGTAGCATACCCCATAACTCAGCCTTTAAGGGATTTCCTTGCCCAATTTTCTTTATAAAACCCATCAGCCATCTGCCATCACTATCCCTTAACACACCTCCACATCCAGATTTGTACCCATCCAATGAACAGGACCCATCAGAATTGATTTTTATCCAGCCCTTTTGAGGAGGTCTCCACAGAACCCTGCTTTCATCCTTAGCAGCCACACGAATAGCCGTAGTATCCAGAACAGTTTCAGCATGAACTACATTCTGCACAAAGGTCCTTATCTTTTGACATAAATTCTCAGGAGAGCAGTTTTCATTTCTAAACACCAGATTATTCCTAGCTTGCCAAATCATCCAACAAGTCACTCCAAATGTGAGCTTCCAAAACTGGTCCTGATTATCCTTCTTCCCTCCTCCCAAGTTAAATTTAAGCCAATCCAGCATATCACCAGAAAAGAAAGAAATAGAGATTCTTTTATCAATTAACAACATCCACACCTGTTTAGCCCAACCACAATCCCTCATCACATGGCAACAATCCTCACAAAAAAGCATGCATCTAGGACAGTTAGCTTCATCTCCCATATGCCTTCTTCTTCTTTGCTCATTGGTTAACAGTTTGTCCCCAATCAACAACCATAAAAAATGTTTCACTCTCTCTGGTCCCTTCCACTTCCAAGCAAGATCCCATTTACTATCATGTTGCTGCAAACCAGGTTTATCCATCCTGATAAATTGGTAAGCAGACTTAACAGAAAACAAGCCATTGCTAGAAGGCTTCCAGTATATCCTATCCTCCTCATCTCCCTCCTTGGGACACTCCAACTTAGCTATGGCTTCACAAACCTCCTCAGGGAGGAACATACTAAATTTACCCCAATCCCACTCACCATCTGGCCTAACACAGCAAGCAACCTTCCAACTTTTAGCATCTTCAGGGATGGTATTAGTGGCTTTATCAATAAGCTGACCAACTTCAGGCACCCACCAATCCAACCAGAAACTAGTTAGCTTACCATTTCCCAACATAATTCCAGTTCCTGACATAATCTGATTCCAGGATGAGCTTATACCTCTCCACAGATTACTAACATTGGCACTCTTAGGAATATGAGGCATAATACAATCCTCAATCTTGTATTTACTTCTCAGAACCCTTGATCCCAGCGAGTTCTTGTTGGACAACATCCCAAATCCACCCTTCATAATAAAGGCTTGGTTAAAAGATCTAAGCTCCCTCAGCCCAACTCCACCACATTGTTTGTCAGAACACATTTTCTCCCATTTTACCAGGTGAGTACCTCTTCTTTCTCTAGATGATCCCCATATGAAGCCACGGGTATGTTTCTCTATCTCCTCACAAACTGATTTGGGCAACCAGGCTGTTTGCATAGCATAGGTAGGCATAGCAAACAACACTGATTTGGCCAATGTGACCTCCCAGCTAGAGACAGTGATCTAGCACTCCAAGCATTCATTCTCTGTTTAACTCTCTCCAGAATATGCTCAAAGGATTTTTTGCTGGCTCTGGAATGGTTTAGAAACACTCCCAAGTACTTTCCCAGGTTAAGGGTGCTGCTAATCCCTAAACAGTCACTGATCTCCTTGACTCTACCATACTGGACATTTTTTGAAAAGAAAACTCTAGTCTTCTCAAGATTAATTTTCTGCCCTGAACTCAAAGCAAACAATCTAAGAACTTGATTGATGATTTGAGCCTGATCCAAGGAAGCTTCAGCACACAAGATGATATCTTCAGCAAAGAATAAGTGAGATAAGGGAGGACCTCCTTTCCTAAGGACAATTGGCTTCCAAGCTTTAACATCAGCAGCTACTTGAATAAGGTGAGCTAGCCTTTCTACACATAAGACAAATAAGTATGGAGATAGGGGATCCCCTTGTCTTACTCCACGGGAAGGTTTGAAATATCTAGTGGGCTGCCCATTCCATAGCATGTTTAGCTCACTGGTCCCAACACAGCTGTCAATAAGAGAAATTAGCTTGGCAGGTAAACCCAATTCAGACAAAGTATCATGTATAAAGGACCAACTCAGCCTATCATAGGCTTTCTCAAGGTCAACTTTGATCATCATCCATCCTTGCTTCCCTTTCTTATTCTTCATTGAATGGATGAGCTCTTGAGCTATCACAATATTATCAGCACTATGTCTCCCTTTGATAAATGAGTTCTCATTTGGAGAAACCCAGTTTGGCATCAAATCTCTAAGTCTGTGAGGAATTACCTTGGTGACTATCTTGTAAGACACATTACATAAACTAATGGGTCTAAAATCCTTCATGCACTCAGGATTCTCAACCTTTGGGATTAAACACAAATGAGTTTGGTTAACCAGTTGAGTCTTCCTAGGATCATCAAAAATACCTCTGATTAGCTCACAAACCGATTTGCCAACAATATGCCACTGAGTTTGAAAAAAAGCTGCATTAAGACCATATCGGCCAGGTGCTTTAAATCTCCCCATTTTGAACACAATGCTCTTAATCTCCACCTCATCAGGAGTTTTAGCTAGATTTGACAGCAACTGGTCCTCCATTTTAGGGAAAACACCTTTAATAGGAAACTCTTCCTGTGAATCATCTTCTTCCAAAAATAGTCTCTCAAAATACTGCACAGCTGTCTCAACCAACTCCTTAGTATCAGCTGTCCATTCTCCAAGGTCATTTTTAATGGTAAGTACCTTATTCCTTCTTCTTCTAGCAATTGTAGAAGAGTGAAAGAATCTCGAATTCCTATCACCAAATTTCAGCCAATTAACTCTGGATCTCTGGAACCAGTTCAATTCTTCTCTTAGCAATATAGTTTCCAATTCCTTCCAAAGATCTCTTTGCAGTTTTTCAAGCTCTCTGTCCGGACCAGCTTCTAACTTTAAGTCCAACCCCTGAATCCTGGCATAAATCCTATGTTTCTGTCTCATCCCTTCATTAAAGACCTCTTGATGCCATTTTGATGCAGCAGTTTCAAACTCACTTCTGGCCTCAGTCCAAGCAGCTTCCTTAACCCAGCATTGTTTGACAATATTGCCAAAATCAGCAAAGGTAAGCCAAGCAGCTAAGAATTTGAACTGTTTATCCCCTTTAACCTCCTGACAAGCTTGGAAATTGCTAATAAGGATTGGCCTATGATCAGAATTAAAAAAGGGTAAATGAGCTATAACTCTATTAGGCCAAGCCACATTCCAAGCTTCATTGGCACAAGCTCTATCAATCCTTTCTTGTAATTTACCCCTCCTCCAAGTGTAGCTAGGTCCCTTAAACCCAACATCAAAAACTCTACACTTCTCAAGACATTCCTGCATATCCTGGATGCTCCTCCAACACACATCAAGACCCCCAACCTTCTCATACTGCCTAAGGACAGAATTGAAGTCCCCAACCAGAACCCAAGGTCCCACCACAGAATCAGCAATAACCAACAACTCTTCCCAAAGCTGTAATCTCTCTACCCTCCTCGGGCTACCATACACAAAGGTAGCTATTTCCATCCTTTTATCTTCAACATAATGAATCCTAGTATGGACATATTGATGGTGAGATTTGATTATCTCCACCTCGACATCCCTGTCATCCCAAAGAATCCAAACACCACCAGAAAAACCCACAGCCTCCTGCTTAAAATTTTTTGAAAAACCAAGTTTCCTAATAATAACATCTCCTCTAGCACCCTGAATTTTAGTTTCCAGTAATGCCAAAACCTTTATTTTAAATCTATATTTCATATCTCTAATCAGGGCAGGGAATTCTTTTTTCCCTACTCCTCTACAATTCCATGAACAAATATTCATAAACATAAACAATAAAAAAGTACCCAGTACCTCAACCAACAAAGAAAGACCCATCAAGGTACAGCAAAGCTCCTTGCCTCTCCTAGACCAATATTACCCTGATTAGCTTCAAACCCATTCGGATTATGATCTCCAGACTTCATCATGCTTGTAATATCATCCCCTTTGACTTTGCCAAAGGCTAAGCTATTCGGATCCTGAGAAGGTTGCAGCACCCCCCTTCTACATTCTTACTCCTAGAAGGCAGCTTCTGAACTCCCACACTCGAAGAATTGGGAGGCTGGTTCTCAGAGGATAGATGTCTAACTGTAGGACCTTTAGAAGAGGATTTATGTTTTTGAACTCCACTAAACCCCACAGAACCTCCCTTTAAAAAGCCAGCTTTTAGACCACTTTTTTTTTTGTTTTTCAACTCCTGAAGAAGAGACACTAAGATGTGATCCTTTGGCTCTCCTTTCATTACCCCCTCCTCCTTCAACTCTAATAGGAATAACATCCTTCTTGTCACCTGTTGGTAAAACCAATTCAGGAATAACTTCCTCAGTTGGGCTATCTGTAGCCATAACTTCCCCAACAGTTTCACCAACTCCACCAGTAGCATTCTGTGCCTCCAGCTTCTGAATATCTTCTTTAATAGTTGATTGGTTAACCGGAGATGCTCTCATCTTCCTTCCTCTCCCTGGCTTCTGGACAACCATCCAAGATCCAAAGGCCTCTTCTTCCTTGTTATTAACTACAGCTTTTTCCTTCACCTCCATAACCTGATTCTTAGAATCAGTACCATCAGCTTCAGAACTAATCTTCTGTCCACCAATACTAGGACATAAGTCCTTTCTATGCCCATACATACCACAACCAAAGCATATCATATGCAAACCTTCATACCCCACATGCATAATCCTTTCACCAATCTTAAACTTAGATAAGAAACTTTTCGAAGGTCAACTTCTACACAGATCCTAGCAAACCTGCCTCGTTCAGTGATATCTCCATCTCCAAGCTCATTCCTTCTCAATAAGTTCTTATCTATCTTAAGTGTTCTCCCAAACATGCTTCCAATTAACCAGAGATACTGTGTGGTATAAAACTCCAAAGGGAGACCTGGAATTCGGATCCAAACCGCCAGGCGCTTCAATTGATCATCATACGGATCAAAGAATGGTCTCCAACGCTGCACAGTTAAGTAGTGATCAGCAATGATCCATGGACCATCATGAAGCACATGATTGTAGTCACCATCCTCCTGAAATCTGATCACCAAGTAACCATTATCCATATCAATCACCTCAAATGTACCCACCAGGTTCCACATTCTCAACAATCGAGTCATTAGAAATCGAGCCCCCATCCGTTTCCCCAGCAACTTAATAATCAATGCCTTTCTCCACTGTTTGCAGGCCTCTTTATGCTGGCTCCTCGAGAATTTTAAGGACGGGCATAGTGGATCGTCTTCCCCATCTCCAACTACATCCTCCAACATATCCTCCTCATCTTCCTCCCTACGTTGTCTAGCCATCCAGTCTTCTTCACTATCCGACATACCTTCAGCACCATTAAGCCTCAGTAACTTATCTCTATAAGAGATAATTCGACCAGATTTCCCTGAAGATCCACCAGACTGTGGTTCTCCTTCATCCTTAAGCATTTTCTCAGGGGAGTGAGCTTTCCCCACCAGATCTTCCTTTCCCTTAGCATGCATCTCTGGAACATCCAGATCTCCTCCCTGTATCCGATCATCCATCAGATCATCAAGGATCGCTATGCCTTTGGGTTTCTTTATACTTCGATTCAGATTATCTTCCTCCTCCGTCGACGCCGAGCGTGATTCAACCATAGCAATCAGAAACTTCTTTTGTTTTTCAGAGAGAAAAGAGGTCAAGCGCGTAAGATTCACTCGCTCCCCATATAGGCTATAGTTAATTTGTAATAGATGATCACTATATTAGCATATATATAGGGGGGAATTTTGGCTTGAAATTAAAGTTATTCAAAACCTTGAGAATTTTAGCTTACTCTAGAAAAATAGAGTACAAGGACTTTAGCTTTTAACCATTATTAACACAAAGAAATGACATGTCATATATAATATCTTTTGGTCACACTAGGCATTAACTAGGCACATGCTAATACAGGGGAAACATACGCAAACGTATGACACAGTTGAAACCAAACCAATCATGGGCTCCTACTCAACAACCCATATGCGTTTGCTTTCTTTCACCAAACTCATATCTTCACACATCAACCAAGCTAGGCATGACCAAGCCCTTGCTGTTTTCCACCACATGCAATCTTCACTTGCCATGTCCCTTGACCCTCATGTCTTCTCCCTCATCCTCAAGTCCTGCACTGCCATCAACCGTCCTCAACTTGGCACTTCCATTCATGCCCATGTCTCAAAATCTTCCTTTCTATCAAACCCATTTGTTGCAAGTGCCCTCGTTGACTTATATGGGAAATGCATCTCAGTTTCCTCTGCACGCCAACTGTTTGATGAAATTACTGAAAGAAATGTTGTTGTGTGGAATGCAATGATATCCCTTTATGCACATTCCCATGAGGTTGCAAGCGCCTTGCAGCTCTTCCAAGTCATGGATACCATGCCCAACGAATCTACTTTCAATTCAGTTATTGCTGGTTTGGCTGGATTGGATGATGGGTCGTTTAAGGCTATAGCATTCTATCGAAAAATGCTTGAACTTGGATTGAAGCCCCGTTTGATAACACTACTTGCTTTGCTTCCTGCTTCTGTTGGAGTAGCAGCTCTGAATTTGATTAAGGAGATTCATGGTTATGCAATGAGGAATGGCATTGACACACATCCACAATTGAGTAGTGGTCTAGTGGAGGCGTATGGGCGATGCGGTTGCCTCATACATTCACATACTGTTTTTTGGAGGATGAAGGAAAAAGATGTAGTTGCTTGGAGCAGCTTAATATCTGCATATGCACTTCATGGGGAGGCAAGGACTGCATTAGAAATTTTCCGGCAAATGGAATTGGCAGAAGTGCGGCCTGATGGGATCACTTTTCTTGGAGTGTTGAAAGCCTGTAGCCATGCTGGATTAGCTGATGAAGCTTTGTATTATTTTACGAGAATGCACAAAGGTTATGGTGTTGAACCAAATAGTGACCATTATTCATGTTTAGTGGATGTTCTAAGCAGGGCAGGAAGGTTGCATGAAGCATATGAGGTTATAAAAGAGATGCCAGTGAAAGTTACTGCCAAAGCATGGGGTGCTCTTCTCGGGGCTTGCCGGAATTTTGGAGAGTTGAAGTTGGCAGAGATTGCGGGGAGAGCTTTATCAGAGGTTGAGCCTGATAATGCAGCAAATTATGTTCTGTTGGCAAAAATGTATGCTAGTGTTGGGAGACAGGAGGAAGCCGAGAAAATTAGAGGGGAAATGAAAGAGCGGGGAGTAAAGGCAACAACGGGAAGTAGCTGGGTGGTATATTCAGAGTCATGACATTCAGCGTATTGCAATTTCATCTCAAATGATGCTTTTGAAGAAAAGATGAACTTTAGCTCACTCAGACACTCACTACTTGCAGGTAATAGAGGCAAAGTAGGAGTAGGCACCAGCATTTCTTGTCAAAATGCTGATATGGATTTGAACAACGGCAGAGCCAAAAAAAATTGTAAGAGGGGACGAAAATTAGAAGGGAAATGACAGAGGGGATTAAAGGCAGCAAGCAACTGGCAGTAGCTGGGTTGTATATTCAGAGTCATGACATTTAGTGTTACTATTGGGATTGGCCTAGAGGATATATTCACAAAGGAATATACCTAAGTAACAGTTAGGGGTAGCTGAGTGGTAATTAGTGGTCATGGCAGTTGATAACTGTCGTAAGGGAAGTTAGAGGGTTTGGTTTGGGAGTTAATGTTATAAAGCCAGAGGCTTAAAGGAGAACTTTGGGAGACATATATTGTGACACCCTCCCCGGTATACATCCAAGGGAAGTGTCTGCTAAAACTGATTAGAGACTGCTAAAACTGATTAGAGACGTAACGTTAACGTATTCAATTTTTGAAATGCAATTTGAAGTCACGATAAATTCTTGGGTTGTATTCGGTTTTCACAATTTAAAACAGCTAGAAATTTGCATAAAAACGTTTCATGCTGAAATCGTCAATTTTCTAGAAAACCTGTCTGTCTTGCAAAAATTATAGAAAATCGAATATACAAGCTTTGGAAATGGAGTTTATATAATCTGAAAATTTACATCGGAGGCTTTACGTGCATATAAAATTTATTCCATTCGTAGGTCTGTAGCTACTGAAACGGAACTCGCAAGGTACTTGATAATTAGTGCAATTTTTCCAAAAACCTACATGACTTGCAAAAATCATAAAAAACCGGGCTTACAAGCTTTTGACAAAAACTTTATATAATTTGGCTTTACGGACATATAAATTATACCTCATTCGAAGGTCTGTAGCCCCAGAAACAGAACTCGCAATGTGCTCGCTAAATCAGTTCAAAAATCCGAATTTAAATACAGCAGAAATTGTTTTGACAATTTAAATACCAGAATCACATAAGTTTCAGACGAAATATAAAAATCAGTCTACAACACGTTTCAAAACAGAATACGAATCATAACATGCCAATCTCCAAAATACTTCATCAAGGTCAAATGTCCAGTACACAACCAATCAGAAACAGTGAACAAGCAGCAGGGTTTTCAAACAGCAGAACTTAAACAGAATATTTCCATGTAATCACGTCATCAAATACTTCTACGTCCTCCTGCAATTTTATAAAAATTGAGCCCCAAAAGGGGTGAGAAAAATCCCAATAGTGTGGCGGAAAATCCAGCAATGCAACAATGTTAACTTAGACACATAATTTCTAAAATTGTCACATCATCAAATAAATTCCGAACAGATACTAAAATGTAATCAGAATGCGTATATAATGCCAGAATACTAATCGAAATGCGTATATAACGCCAGAATTCTGTATGTTCATAGCACTACGGTGCACATACTAGCTAACTCAGTGGAGATTCCATTTGGCCCTAACAGAGGGGAATTCCATCTGAGACCTATGCGAACTGAGCCACGGTTCCTTCTCCCTGGTACCTGAGGGATGCCTATATGATGCATGCTAAAACATATGCTTACTTTTATCAAATATTTCGGTTTCCAAAACTGAATGCATAATGCTGTATGATATGATATGTTTTGCTTCGCACACACATGACAAAATGCAGTCCTATGATGTTCATGAGCATGACTAAATATCAGAATCAGAGGGTCATAATTTCCATGACTAAGACAACAGAAATTCGAAGCATATTGTTTCTCCAAACAGAATTTCCAACAATTCATATTCCAAGTCAAATTATCATTACCTTCAAATAGAATCAGATTAGGACACGTGAGCAACAAATCAAAAATCCAAGCACTAAATTAACAGTCACAAAAGGGTAATCCACCGAACACTTACTTGATAATTTAGAGTTCCAACCAAAATCTCACCAAGTCAGCCCTTTTTTATTAGAGACTTGGGCACCTAATCCACACAATACCAAATCAGAATTCTATAGTATTTTTCCTATAATTCGCAAGTAATTTCCATGCTTCCAATTCTAGGATTTTAGCCGAAATGTCATGCTTCAATTACTAATTTAATCTCTAAGTTAATTGTTCTAATCTTTTTCTGACTTAACTTTAATTTCATACTGTTTAGCCATGGACAAACCAAGGGTTCCTATATGCAACATACACGATTTTTAGGCCATTCTTTGGTGCATCCATTTTCCATTAACAAGACACTACCAACTTGACTTAGGCATGAGCCAATAGGTCATTTAACATGTTGTGTACAAGAGTTACAAACACACGCAAGGCTTGGTTCAAAACGGATTTCATGGTTCTCTTCCTAAATAATTTTTCCGACTTGATATTAATTTTACCAAACGTTAACAAATGATAAAAATCAAGGTTTCTAAGACATGCATATACGGTTTTGGGCCATCAACCAGGTGCTACAAATTTATCAATTACATAGCATTAACTACAAGGTTTAGGGTGTGCTAATGAGGCTTAAAGCACGCTGCCTATGTCAATTATAAATACATACAAGACTTAACAAATTCCCTAGTCCAAGAAACAGTCCCGAATTCCATGAAAAGTTACCTTCCAAGCTCAAAAATCTAATTCGCTTGCATGCACCCAAAGGTCAAGAGTTGTACGGCTGAACAGAAAAAGGACAAGAGATTAACCAATTAACAATTCTCCTAGGACACATGCAAGGGCCGAAGCGGTGGGGAGGAAAGGAGAGTTTTGATGTTCAACTCATACCTTCTTGCATGTGCACAAGACTCCCAAATCCGCTAGAGGAAGGCGCTCACCAAGTGAGGTGTGGTTTCCCTCACCCTTCTGCTCTTCAAGAGGCTGAGTTCAGGCTGCATTCAGAGGGAAGGAACTCAAGAAAAGAAAAAGAAAACCGAAGGGTACGAAGGAATAGGGAAGTAGAAGAGATACATCACTCACTCCTCCTAGTTGTTCGGTCGTGCGCACCATGGGAGAGGAATGAAGGATGTGTGCTTATGTTTTCATGCTCCCTCCTAATGATGTGCGACTTGTGGAAAAAGGATGGGAAAGAAAGAACATGCAAGGTTGCTGTTTGGGGTTCAGCTGAGTATGTGCATGAGAAGAAAGAAATTGTGAGCTAGTTAATGGATTCTTCTCCATGGAGGTTTGCGGTCTTGTAAGAAGAAAATAGGGTGCTTGAATTCTGAACACAATGACCCACAAGAAAGAAAATCAGAATTGTTTGTTCCCATTATGCGCATGATGATGGAGAGATAAGGTTGGACATGTGTCTACTCCTGGCCAATCAAGAGTAAGTATGCAGATTTTGTTTAGTGGGAAAGATATAGGGTTTACTTAAATCCCAATTTAAAGGCTTGGGCCGTGGCTCATGGAACAAATTGGATCCAATAATTTCCCTAAGCCATATTGTTTCATGTAGCTACTAAGTTGTAACTAGAGTTTTCATAAAGAGTACTTGAAAGTATTCCTATCCTACACCTGCTTAGATTTTTAATTCGTGGCATGCATTCACATCCACCATGGCATTTTAAATAACTTCCTAATGGGTCACCTATCTCATGTAATATACTATTAATTATTATTTCATGTTCCCACTAGGTAGTAACTAGGGTTTCTACATATATTGTAATTAAACTTAATACTATCCCTTTTTAACTAGTGTGTTGAATTCTTAAAATATATATATACTCACTTATAATTCCACCCTAAATATATATTGAATTCGAATTCAAAGCATGCTTCCATATTCCTAATTACAATTTATATAAGTTCCTAATTATTCGGGATGTTACATTTATAAGGGACTCTATCTGTGTAGAGAGGCATATTTGGGTGTTGTATTGTAAAGTGAGATATTCTCAATGGGAAGGGAGAATTCCCTTGTGAAGAGGATTTCTTCTTGTATTTGTTCTTTTTCTTTCATTTCCCCTATCTTTCCTCTTCCCCACTCAAATGATGAAGAAAAGATGAAGTTGAGCTCACTAGTTGCAGGTAACATAGGCAGGGTAGGAATAAGCACCAGCACTTCTTCTCAAAAGGCTGATATGGATTTGTACCTCTAGTTTTATTTCCTAACATGATTTTCATTTTAAGATTGAGACGCACAACACCTTTACAAGAGGCCTCTCATTTCCTCTCCCACTGTCCTGCAATGAAATAATTCAAATCATTGTGGATCCATTGAGCTTTCTCATGTAATTTATTTGATTTTGATGGAAAGTAGACTTAATTATTGTACAATACATTACAAACTACATAAAATACAACTTCAGTGCACCACCATATTAAACACCATCCCTTGTTTTTCCTTCCATTTCCCTCCCCGCTAAACTGCTGAATGTTGAAGTTGTTGGGACAACATTCAAAAATGAGAATTCAATATCAAATGGATAGTTAACAGTTATAAAGCAAATTTATAAACTGAGTACTTCCATGCAGATATAAATAGCAAATAATCTTACATGTTTCTTGCTTATATACTGTTCTTGTGCAAGCTATGTCTGTTAAAAATTTAGTTTTTTCAAGCAAGGAATGTAACTTCTGGCAAGTATTGTTTTTCTTCCATAAGAGGGTAGACACCTCTCAACATTATTTTTATGTTACTCATGACCAAAACTGAACTCGTATATGAAGGTCGAATAAATTAAATCAAAAATTAAAATTCAGCTGTAAAATAAAAATAAAACAAATCTAAATGAAAAACTAAAAAGTTAATTAAATTGAATAATAATTTTTGTAACGCTCCACATTGAAAATAGTATCTTACACTTACATCATTCCAGTGATGGACAATTAACATCAGGAGACGGAAACTGGCATGGACGGGTACTGTACTTCAAATGAAACAATAACATCAATATTTAAGAACATGCATTGCAAATTTGCAGAGTCTCGTGTGAATCTCCATTACTTAAAATAAAGATCAAAAACATTCACAACATCATCTCAACAGAAGTACTTATGTCATTAGAGTACATGGCAGCCCCACAGCCGAGCAAGTGGGGATAAAAGTATATGTTCGATCCTTCTGATTATACTTTTTTGAAAAGTATATTTAAAGCTTTAATTTTGGATCTCCTGAACTGGATTAGTCCATAGAGAATCTATGGAATTACCAGAAGATAATCTAAAAAAAGAAAAAAGAAAAAAAGAGAGTACATAGCAGCCTGTCATACATAATAACTTCCACATAACTACTATCTATCTACATAAAAGTAAAATTATTAATGGTTACATACAGACTATTCTTGATGGCCCATACCTAGGCAGTAAGACAGGCTCAAACCCCCTGCTTGCGTCTACGTCAGCCCTGTTGACCAAAAACTATCAACCCTCCTTTTCTTCTGTCCCCATGCGACAGTATCCCCAAGGTAAGACACCAAAATACCTTACCTTGAGATATCCACTCCGCTGGAGGGCAGACCCTCTAAATGGAAACTTCTCTTCTACAGAGGTGGCAGCAATGGTTGTCACCATCCTAGCAGAGAATGCATTGCTGCTGCCACAGCAATGTCAGCCACCCCTAGCACCCCTCGAGGAGAGTTGACCCAGCTCACCCACCCATGTGAGGTGGGCATCTTCTCCTCCTATAAGTACCCCTCTGTAAGGACCCGCACCGCTAAATTAAAAATTTAAATAATTTAATTATGAGTTTAGGAAATAATTCCATAATTGACTTTGGATAAATATGAAAAGAGCCTAATAATTAATATTAAGTCACCTTTCAGAAGGAAAGAGTAAACACCGGGTATTTTGCGGTATAAATGGATACCGACAAAGTAATCCACAAAATAGAAATAAAAATATCTAGGTTACAAATATCAAATTTGGGATAAAAATAATAAGCACTGATGTCAAAACTAATATCAGCTATTTAGCAGTATAAAACGCGTATCGGTGAAGTCTCTCGAAAAATTATAATAAAATATGATAATTTCTATAAAAATTTCTAGGTTAAGAATATAAAGTTTGGTATAAAAATGTTGTAAATATTAGAATTAGTATTTTATCTATTTATTTGTATTAGGTAGAATACTCTAGAAGTGTATTTTAGGCTTAGCCCATTAGGTCTTTCAGTACTCTTTATATAATAAGCTCTTGTACAGATTTTATACAATTCAATAATATACAAAACCTTTTTTTTCTAGTTGGTATCAGAGCTCTAGATTCTGAGGGCTCTGCTTTTGCAAATCACCGCCTTTAAAAAACCAAACCCTATTTGCCTCTCGCAGCCACAAAGCCGCCACTGGAATTTTTTTTTGGGGACCTTTTGGACTGTGAGGACCCCTGTTTCACTCCATTTTCTCAGATTTATCATTCTATGGAGGTTTTTTTTTTTCATCAAACGATCGGAACAGCTAAAAAAAAGCATTGTTCACGATACTGTTCACGGGTACTGGTCATCGGTACTGTTCACAAGTATTGTTCATAAAATAAATAGAAGAGAAATTTATCGCTATCGGCCACTGGAAAATTTCTTCAAGCCCTTTTATGTTGGACGTTGACGATACTCCAACCAGGAAATCATATAGTACACGCTTGATGGCTATTCTTTCTCCAAATGACCTTCCTCCTCTTCATCAGAATTACCGTCTTAATGGGAAGAATTACTTGCAATGGTCCCACCTTATTCGTACCATCCTTAAAGGGCGTCATAAAATTACTCATCTTGAAGGACTTGTTCCAGCCAAAACAGATCCAAAATTTGCTGACTGGGATGATGAAGACTCTCTTATTATGACATGGCTATGGAACTCTGTGACTCCTGAGGTTAGTCAACATTGCATGTTCTTACCTACTGCTCTTGAGATCTGGAATGTTCTTAGACAAACTTACTCAATGAAGAAAGATGCTGCCACCTGCTATGATCTGAGGAATAAGATTTTTTCTACCAAGCAAGGCTCTTCCTCTGTGACAGCGTATTATGGCATTTTGAATGCACTGTGGACTGAGCTTGATCAATACCAAAGCTTGAAGATGGAGTGTAGCAAGGATGCAGCTACTCTGGCCACCTCTATTGAAAGAAGTCAAATTTTTGACTTTCTTTGTGGGCTCAACTCAGAGTATGACCCTATTCGGGTTCAAATTCTTGGTAAGGAAAAATTACCTCATCTTTCTGAAGTTTTTCACGCTGTCAGGGATGAAGAAAGTTGCAGGACTGTCATGATGGATATCAAAGTATCCGAAGGATCTATTATGCTCTCATCTAAAGTTACTACTCCAACTCCTTCTAATTCTGAGCCCACTGACGGATCTGTTATGGTCTCAGCTAAGCCACCACCAAGGTCTTTTCCTCTTAAGCCTAGTAAAGAGGGGCATTGGTGTAACTATTGTAAAAGAACAGGTCACACAAAAGAGGTTTGTTACCGTCTTCATGGAAAGCAACAGGTTCAGGAGAAGTTTGGTAAGTCAACCCCATGTAGTCAGTCCTTCTTTGCCCCCTCAGACATTTCTCATGTTAATGAGACCTCACGGATGCCTGGTGAGTTTACTACTATTCGTCGTGAGGAATTAGAACGGCTTAGGTCCGTATTTGAATCTGTCAATAAGCCTTATGGTACTGGTTCTTTAGCAATGACTGGTAAGAACTCATGCACTCATTCTTTTGTTGCTTCTTGTACTGATTTCAAAACTTCATGGATTGTGGATTCTGGTGCTACTGATCATATGACTTGCTGCACTGACCCTTTTCTGTCTTATAATCCTATTCTTTGTATCCGTACTATAGCCGTAGCTGATGGATCACAGATATCAGTTGCAGGTTCTGGTAACATTAAAATTCAACCTTCTTTTGTCTCAAGAATGCTCTCCATGTTCCCTAACTTTCTACCAATCTCCTTTCTACTCATAAGCTTATTACAGATTTGAATTGCACTGTAACATTTTCCCTACTCATTGTGTTTTTTAGGATCTCACCACGGGGAAGACGATTGGAGCTGCTAAGGAGCAGGATGGGTTGTATTATCTGGTTCCAGACTTTGCTGTAGAAGGTACCAAGGACCCGACTTTGATGACTCGTCAGTTTACTTCAGATTCTCTTATTTGGCTTTATCATAAGCGCTTGGGTCATCCTCCTTTAGTTTACTTAAGTTTATGTTTCTGTCTTTGTTTGTGTCTCAGTCTGTTGAGTCTTTTAATTGTGATGTCTCTCAGTTTGCAAAACATCATCGTGTATCTTTTCCTTCTAG